ACAGACAGTTTAGTCAACACAAAACCAAAATATACTTATCTTTTAAACACATTTCTTAATGCGTTCAGAAAAGGATCTTATCATAAGAGATATAAAAAAAAAAAATAAAAAATAAAACGTAATTATTTTTTAATAATAAGTGGTTAGTGCGCCGACACATAGCACCAAGGTGCTCATGGCGACCCGAGTTCAAGTCCCGGCTTAAGGTCCTTTGCCGATCCATCCCCCATCTCTGCTCCCCATACTTTCCTGTCTGTAAAATCTCCAGTCCTATCGCAATAAAGGTGAAAACAAATAAATAAATAAATAAATAAAATAACTTTTGCCATCTGACAACACTTTCATCGAATAGTTTTTTTTAAACCTTACTCTTTATAGAGATTGCTTTTTTTTTGACTTAAAAGAAAATAATTGGTAAAAAGTAAATAGTAAAATTAAAATAATTATATTTTAAATGTAGTTTTTTTAGTTTTAAAACAAAATTATTTAAAAGTACACTACACTTCAAAAGTTTAATTGTAATTCAAAATGTCCGGCATGCGCTCTCACGCTTTTACAAATATGAATGATTCGAACGTACATCAATGAATGAAGCGCAACCTGTGCTGCAAAAGTTCGATTACAGCTCATGTTTCCCGTGGAACTGAGCTTTGCAAAGCAACAAATGTGTACAACTGGAAAGGGGGTGGTATATGATGCAATAATCAATTATCTCCATTAATGGTTTTTCAAAATCGTTAGAAGCCAAAATCGAAATCAGATTTTCGATTAATTGCACAGCCCTAGTAAAAAGTTACAAAAGCTGCGACATCTGCAAGATCTATTTTCAGTTGTCAGACTCACACAAGAAAATGTACCAGGGCTCAACAATAAGGACTGCCCGGTGCCAGCGTGAAAGAAGCTCGGGACAGTAGACAGGATTGTTACTGGCCCCTATCTAGTTATTTTTTTCGTAACCTGGTAACAACCAGTACAGTGAAAAGATGTAAAAAAAATAAAATAAAAAAAAAAGTCACAAAAAAAAGTTTAAAAAAAAGTCAAAGAAAATGTGGGTTTCTAAAGTCTTGGAAGCAGACAATTGCATGGATACAAAATTAAGAGAAAGAAATTTTCCATACTGCTCTTTCGTTTGCATAAAAAATGTATTAACATTTTTAAATTGTTTAAATTCAATATTCAAAGACATAATTTAAAATATGTGGCTAAGAAATACCACATATTAACTTTTTTTTTTTGTTGTTGAAAAAGTTTTGCAGGGTAAAAATCTCAATCACTGGCCCGATCGGCCCAGTAGAAAAAATCCTTAGCGTTAAACCCTGTATACTGAAGTATTGTATAATAATTTATATTTAGTAAATTAGTAATAAATAGTCATTTATTTTTCATGAATAGGAGATACATGTTACTTCACAAAAAATAATTGAGGTCATGTCTGTGTTGTGCGAGAAGTCGATATGTTAATTATTGTGACAGGCCTAAGCATAGTCCTTAAAATGTACATCCTGCATCCACACAAATTACCTATTTGTTATAATGTGAATATGCACAAGGTCTAAGCAAGGAGAAGCGCATCACGAATGCACCACCACTATCAAAGATGAAGGGCTCAATACTTCAGTGACGCACAAGAGACCCGAGAGGTGGGTTGACAGAATAGATAAAACGCCCACGTCTACCCCAGCACGCCTGGCACCGGCTCATCCCAGCCGACTGCGCCAATCTCAGCTGATAACGTCCATCAGTCAGGCATACTAAAACCTCCCATAAAGCCAGCCATCTCAGCCCGAGAGCCCAGGCCAAACTAATCAAACACAGTCTGCCACCTGCATTTGGAGATAGGGAGCGATTAATGACACAGCTGTATTCATCGCATAAGTCCCCGCTTTTACTCCAACTGGCATTTAGAGCAGAAGCCGGACAAAAGGAGTAGAATAGTTAACGGTGACCAAGCATTGCGGTATTAGAAAGGGATGGTGCTTAGTGTAGACTATTATAAGCATGTATTGACATGGAAAATTATAGTGGAATACTGTTGAGACCTGTTTATGAATAAATTAATGAGGGATATTAATAATAGAACATCTGAGCAGTGCATTCATTAAGGAAATTGCGTAGTTTTAATATTAATAGTAAGGGGCACTGATCAAAAATGCACAATTGGAAGCAAAAAACACAAACACATTAATGCATAGTAAGGACAAATTAAGAGATCATTTTAAAAAGTATCAGTTTCTCTGCACTTTTTTGTTGTATTCGATAAAATGTCTGATAATGTTTCTGACAAATAATAACATCCTTTTTTTGGAAATGATAATTGTTCAGAATATTATAATGACTGAATTGGGCCAAATAATATTATTGCACCAAATATTGATTTCATTTTTAAACTACTATTAAAACACTGGTGCTGTGCACATACACTCACCGGCCACTTTATTAGGTACAACTTAGTAGTATATTGGGTTGGACCCCCTTTTGCCCTTTATGCCACATATTCAACAAGGTACTGGAAATATTCCTCAGAGATTTTGGTCCATATTGACATGATAGCATCACGCAGTTGCTGTAGATTTGTCAGCTGCACATCTATGATGTGAATTTCCCGTTCCACCAAACCAAAGATGCTCTATTGGATTGAGCTCTGGTGACTGTGGAGGCCATTTGAGTACAGTGAACTCATTGTCATGTTCAAGAAACCAGTCTGAGATGATTCATGCTTTATGACATGGTGGGTTATCCTGCTGGAAGTAGCCATCAGAAGATGGGTACACTGTGGTCATAAAGTGATGGACATGGTCAGCAACAATACTCGGGTAGGCTGTGGTGTTGACATGATGCTCAGTTGGTACTAATGGGCCCAAAGTGTGCCAGGAAAACATTCCCCACACCATTACACCACCACCACCAGCCTAAACCATTGATACAAGGCAGGATGAATCCATGCTTTCCTGTTGTTGACGCCAAATTCTGACCCTACCATCCAAATGTCGCAGCAAAAATCGAGACTCACCAGGTAATGTTTTTCCAATCATCTATTGCCAGAGTATATACAGGAATCAGAGAGGGAAATTCAATACATTTTAAGACCTTATAACCACTTTAGTTTTTAACCGGAAACACTGGCGAGATTTTAACTTACAGTATAATTACTAAATATGAATGTTTGAAACTAATCCAAAACTAAAACATTATTCATATACTGAATACAAATCTATTAAATATAGTTACTTCAGCAGGATGGCACCTATAGAGCTGCAGAATTAATCAAGTGGTGCTCGCTGCAGAGCCATTTGGGCGAGCTGAGCTCCAGCGAGGGGGAGCTTGAGCTTGAGCTCCACCTTTTTTGCACTTCTTCTACGAGTGATGTCACTGGGGGTAGGGTTAGGGGTGGGGTTGGTGTACGCATTAAAACAGCTTACAGGAGGAGGATGGGTTAGGGTTAGGGTTAGGTTTAGGGTTAGGGTTAGGGTAAGCAGCGTAATGTCAAATCTAGTAGAATTTTATTTATTTCATAAACAACACAGCAACCTGATATTAGCAGATTTAATTCAGGCAAACTTTAGCATATAACTGTACAGTGCATAATCAAAAATTATATAAAATTTGAAATTTTATATACCTATAATATATAATATATATTTGAAAAATATATACCTTGAAAATAGCATTTAAGACGTTAATACTTTTTAAGGGCCTTAAATTTCTCTACATTGATTTATCAACTTTTAATACTTTTTTAAGACCCTGCTAACACCCTGTCCAATTTTGGTCAGCCTGTGTGTATTGTAGCCTCAGTTTCTCTTCTGCATACCTCAGTAGTAATGAGTGGTTATTTGTGTTACTGTTGCCTTTCTATCAGCTGGAACCAGTCTGGCCATTCTCCTCTGACCTCTGGCATCAATAAGGCATTTGCACCCACAGAACTACCACTCACTGGATATTTTCTCTTTTTCGGACCATTCTCTGTAAACCCTAGAGATGGTTGTGCGTGAAAATCCCAGTAGATCAGCAGTTTCTGAAATACTCAGACCAGCCCATCTGGCACCAACAACCATGCCACGTTTAAAGTCACTTAAATCATCTTTCTTCCCCATTCTGATGCTCAGTTTGAACTGCAGCAGATCATTTTGACCATGTCTACATGCCTAAATGCATTGAATTGCTGCCATGTGATTGGCTGATTAGAAATTTGCGTTAAAAAGCAGTTGGATAGGTGTACCTAATAAAACGGCCGGCGAGTGTACATTGTATATTAGAAAACTATATCAATACATATAGCTTATGTATACACACCCACACTACATGAAACATCCCATCAGTGTTTGAAACTAATAAATCCCCACAAACATGATGTGAAAGTCCCTGGTTACGTAGAACTCAGTGCCCACTTTCCCAGACATATACTGTGTTACTGGCCTGTCTCAAATATCATATCTGCATATTTAAGCCGCAAAGCAAAACTTTTACCACAGTATCCGGAACAGACAGGAATGTCTAGCTATAACGAATATTCGGAACAATAGCATGCAATCTAAAAAATGTCATCGTTGACAGCTCAAGATCACATGGTCTAAGCTGGAGGGCACACCCGTTTACCAATCCTACTATGGCGGAGGCGTTTTTGATGTTAATGAGGTTAAAAACGTCATCACGCTTAACGTAATATTCATGAGGGTGACTTTTTTTTAACGTTTAATAAGGGTATTAAGTTAGACATAAAAGGTGTAAACAATAGTAACAACAAAAGTAGTCAAAAATAAGGGTGCCTTTCTAATAGGAAAGGGCTTACGCCGCGTCATATCGATTCTAATTAATATTCATAAGCCAAGCCTTCATCATAGTAGGATTCCCCACCCGGTAAACAGGTAAGTTTTTTTAACAATCCCGAATAAATTATCAAAAGTATTGATATGTAGGCTACCCCTAATGAAAAATCAAACTTACACAATCATATTTATCAGCCTGTGGTATCGATTTAAAACTTTAAAGCATCACGTTACCTGTTCAACAATCTTCTTGTATCTTTGAGTAGCTTGATCGATCAAATCTCGTACCATCCAACTGTCCTTACACGGGACGACAACTCTAGTTTCCCCGAAAATGACCGTCACCTTCATCTTAAATGCGTCATTAAACGTTAAAATATCTTCGAGGCTTTGTTTATATCGCAGCTTCTCTTAAAGCGAACGCCGCAGAGACAACAGGTGTCATTGGTCAACTGTTACAGGTGATCTTCCTCCTCTCTGAAGAGCTACTACAGCCTCGAGTAAACCGATATAACATCCATGAGTGAAAGAAGAGTCCGGTATTTAATCCAAACTGCACATTTAACTGATGTAAACAGTCCTGGGTTCACGAGAAAAGTCGAGATAGTGAAAGGTTTTCCCGAGTTCGCGCTCGCTGGAGTCCAGAGTGAAACCGGAAGCTGCAGATAGTGAGAAACTACCGTGATTGACGGCCTGCTTTATGAAGCTACAAACTAGAATCATTACTGAGGAGAGGAGGATGTACTTGAGAAAGAAGTAATAATCACTCAATGTAGGGGGGACGGAGTAAAAATGACAAAGTAAATCGTCCAACATGGAAACAAAAATACTATAGTAATTCATAGTAAATACTATAGTGTATTTGAGCGATACTCAGTACTTGAATTAATCTGCTGCGGTAATTATATAGTTGCAATGGTAATACAACAGCTATATTAATAAAAACAAATGATCCAATACTGTATTTTTTCACAATACTCTATATTGTACTACAAAACACCACGGTTTGTGGTAAAAACTAAAGTATACTACAGTATTAATTAGTTTATCAGTTAACTATAGTTGTAATACTACAGTATGCAGGAGGATTCATTAACAAAGAGTTGTAAAATACTTTAATATACAGTATAATACACTTTACTACAGTATTTAAAAACACTATAGTACTTATTAAATAATAAAGGTATGGAAAAAATACTATAGTAATTCATTGTAAATACTATAGTGTTTTTGAGCAATACTGAGTACTTGAATTGGTATTGCTCAAACTGTTGTGGTATAATAAATAATATTGTACTACAATACACCACAGCTATGAGGTAAAAAAGAAGTAACTACAGTTTTTATAATTGTTAACTGTAGTTAATATGCTACAGTACTTGTTAACAACGAGTTGTAAATAATATAAAGTATAATACAGTTTACTATAGTATTAAAAAACACTATAGTATTTATACATTTCTAAAGCTGTATCACACATATTCTAGGGGACTATAGTAAACAGTGAAAGAGAGTACAAAGTAAAAGAGTTTTTTTACAGAAAGTAAACCTTCCCACATGAAAAATAAATACCATAGTGTTTATGAACCATACTGTGGTGAAATACCTGAATTAATCTGTTATGGTGATTATATAGTTGCAGTGGTAATACAACAACTAATTAAAAAAATATCCAATTCTGTAGTTTTTTACAATAATGTATATTGTACTAAAATACACCACTGTTTATGTGGTAAAAACTAAAGTATACTACAGTATTTATTACTTTATCCGTTAACTATAGGTACAGCATAATACTACAGTATGCTGCAGCATTTGTTAACAAAGAGTTGTAAATACTTAAATATACAGTATATTAAGCTTTACTATAGTATTTATTAAATCCTGAAGGTACAGAATCTCACATATTCTAGGGAAATAATGTGAAACTGACAGAAAGTAAACCCTCCCACATAAAAAAAAATTACTATAGTAATTCATAGTAAATAATATAGTGTTTTTGAACCATACTAATACCTGAATTAATCTGCTGTGGTAATTATATAGTTGCTTTGGTAATACATCAACTATATTAATATAAACAAATGATCCAATACTTTCATTTTCCACAATAATGTATTGTATTACAGCACACCACAGTTTATGTGGTAAAACTCAAGTATACTACAGTATTTATTAGTTTATCAGTTAACTATAGGTATAATACTACATTATGCTGCAGCATTTGTTAACAAAGAGTTGTAAATACTTAAATATACAGAATATTAGGCTTTACAATCGTATTTATTAAATCCTGACCTGAAGGTACAGAATCTCACATATTCTAGGGGAATTATAGGAAACTGACAGTAAGTAAACCCTCCCACATGAAAAAAATACTATAGTAATTCATAGTAAATAATATAGTGTTTTTGAACCATACTGAGTACTTAAATTAATCTGCTGTGGTAATTATATAGTTGCTTTGGTAATACATCAACTATTAATATAAACAAATACTTTCATTTTCCACAATAATGTATTGTACTACAACACACCACAGTTTATGTGGTAAAAACTAAAGTATACTACAGTATTTATTAGTTTATCAGTTAACTATAGTTGTAATACTACATTATGCTGCAGCATTGGTTAACAAAGAGTTGTAAATACTTTAATATACAGTATAATACACTTTGCAGTATTTATATAATATAAGTATTTATATTGTATAATACTGTAGTATTTATACAAATCCTAAAGGTAGAGAATTTTTGTCAGAAAGTAAACCTTCCCACATGAAAAAATACTAAAGTGTTTATGAACCATACTGTGGGAAAATACTTGAATTATTCTGTTGTGGTAATGCTGTAATGAAGACGCAGTGGCCTAGTAGATAGTGCTGTCGCCTCACAGCAAGAAGATCGCTGGTTCGAACCTTGGCTCAGTTAGCGTTTCTGTGTGGAGTTTGCTTGTTCTCCCTGCGTTTACGTGGGTTATCTCCGGGTGCTCCGACTTCCACCACAGTCCAAAGACATGCGGTACAGGTGAATTGGGTAGACTAAATTGTTCGTAGTGTATGAGAGAGATGCGGCTGGAAAGGCATCCGCTGAGTAAAAACGTGCTGGATAAGTTGGCGGTTCATTCCACTGTGGCAACCCCGAATTAATAAAGGTACTAAACCGACAATAAAATGAATGGTAATGCTGTATCTATAGGGCAATACGAAATCAATAACATCACAACAATATAAACTAATTATAATTATAACAATATAAACTAATTATAATTATAACAATATAAACTAATTAGGGTATATTGTACTACAATACACCACTGTTTCATAAACTAAAACCCAATACTTAATACAGTTGCATTAGCTAAATCAAAGTATGCAGCAGCCTTCATTACCAAAGAGTAAATAATATAATATACAGTACAATAAAATGTCTGATTAAACACTATTTACTTTAATTACTATAGTATTTTTTCTGCATAATCAAATTGGCAAAAATACATCAAAATTAGATATGAAATAAGTGTCTTTTTTAGCTATTAGAAGGAATTGTTCATACTAAAATTTATGTTTTTAACCTTTAGGAATATGTGATTGCAGCTGGAAGGGCATCCGCTGCATAAAACATATGCTGGATAAGTTGGCGGTTCATTCCACTGTGGCGACCCCAGATTAATAAAGGGACTAAGCCGAAAAAAAAATGAATGAAAGAATGAATGATTATTTGGTTTAAAATGTGAAAAATCAATGAGTAAAATGATTGCAAATAACTAACCTTTACATATAAACGACATGTTATAAAGTAATTTGAACTTGTTTCCACAATAAACATCAGTAATAGGCTTCCACTCACATAACAAACTACATTTCCAAAACTGTCGAAAAATTTCCATAAACTGTAGCCTCCTGACTCATGTTTGTAGTATTCACACACAGTCCCTGAGCTCTAGTTTGCAGCTACATATTCCTAGGACAATGGACTGTTCTCAGAGCACTATTGTGTGTCTCTCTGGCAAAGTGTTTCATTGACCTAATTACACGATCAACCTTCTATTATGCCCTTCCAGCCCTCACATCATCCATATACATGAAGATAATGATGTGACAGTTTTATATTTCCCACAGTTTGAATAATATCTTAATAGCATTCATGTTCTGTAATTAGTTGATCAATTATGCACACATATTCTTTATGGCTCACCGTGCAACTCAGATTGTTAAAAAGTTTGTGGGCAGTAAACGTTTAGTAATGTTTTTGAGTTATGGTGCATAATTTTCACAACATTACAGTAAAATCAGTAACACTGGGAAATATTAATACAATGTAAATATATATTATATAATCATTTCTCGAGTTTTGTGTCACGTGATCCTTCAGTAATCATTTTAATTTAATGTTTTGCTTGCGATTTTTTATATTACTGTTGCAAACTGCTGTGATACTTAATATCTTTATGAAAAATATTATGCATTAATCATTAATAAGGTAATAATTCTATAACCACAGGGAAGAGGGTAACAATGGAGAGAAGATCCAAATGTAGGCTTTTGTATTTCTGAATAAAGCCTCCATTTGGATCCTCTCTCCCTTTTAAAATCAGTAATATTGTTGTATACTGTATGGTGCAGCAAAATATGCACCATAATTCAGACAGGCAATGGTCAAAGACAGAAGCAAACAGGAACATACTGTACAAGGAAATCCAGAAGCGTGGTCAGGTAACGAGCGTCAAAACACTGAGAAACTAAACCAGGAAACACTTTAAAGGCAGAGCTTAATTTGTGCCAGAACACACCGGATCCAGATCCTGATCTCTGAAATCTCTGAAAATCTGAATTTCACCGATCCTTATTTTATTGATCTCCCTCCTCCAGAGCCCTCCTCCTCCATCCGCTGTTTTATCACGTTCTACTGCAACTCCCCAACTCTTCACTTTCGTCCGCGACACCCCCGCCCGCTCACTATCGTCCGCGACACCCCTCTGCCATCCATCGCAGTCTCAACTGGTACTAATGGGCCCAAACTGTGCCAAGAAAATATCCCCCACACCATTACACCACCAGCAGCCTAAATCGTTGATACAAGGCAGTATGGATCCATGCTTTCATGTTGTTGATCTCTATTTCTGACCTTACCATCCGAATGTCGCAGCAGAAATGTAGACTCTTCAGACCAGGCAACCTTTTTCCAATCTTCTATTGTCTAATTTTGGTGAGCCTGCGCAAATTATAACCTCAGTTTCCTTTTTATCTCTGACAGAAGTGGCACCTGTTGTGGTCTTCTGCTGCTGTAGCCCATCTGCCTCAAGGTTCAGTGTGTTGTGCATTCAGGCATGCTTTTCTGCATACCTAGGTTGTATCAGCTCAAACCATTCTGGCCATTCTCCTCTGACCTCTAACATCAATTAGGCATTTGCGCCCACAGAACTGCCACTCACTTAATATTTCCGTAGAGATGGTCCCAGTAGAAAAAAAATCCCAGTAGATAAGCAGTTTCTGAAACACTCAGACCAGCTCGTCTTGCTCCAACAACCATGCCACGTTCAAAGTCACTTAAATCACCTTTCTTCCCTACACTGATGCTCGGTTTGAACTGCAGCAGATCATCTTGACCATGTCTACATACCTAAATGCATTGAGTTGCTGCCATGTGATTGGCTGAATAGAAATTTGTGTTAAC